CCACCACGGTGGCCACGCCGGCCTGCGCGTCGAGCTGCGCCAGGCACTGGAAGGAGGCGTCGTTCAGCACGGACACCAGGCGGTTCCCCGCGTCCCACAGCTGCTGCAGCTTCAGCGCGGCCGCGGGGTGCACGTACTTGGCCAGCGGGGAGAGGGAGTGGAACTCGTCCACGCGCACACCCCACTCCAGCTGCTCCAGGCCGTGGTGCTTGAGGCCGGCGGGGACCACGGGCGCGCGGGGGGTGGGGTCGAGGGCGGCGGGGGCGGCGGCGGCGGCGCTGCCGCCCCAGCCCTCGCCGGGGCGGCCCCGGGGCGGGAGCCGCTCCTCTATCGCGTCGAGCTGGGCGGGGGTGGGGGAACGAGCCTCCCCGTGGCGACGTCGCGGTCGACGGAGGAGAGGTGCGAGGCAAAGTAGGCTGCGAGGGCATTGGGCAGGGGAGGCGGGTGGGTCGCGTGGTGCGGGGGGGGTGCGTGGCAGGGGCGGCGTGACCCCGGGGGCGGGCTGGTGGCGATGGGGGGGCGGGGTGGGGTTTGGCAGGGCTGACACCGAGGGGTGTGTGAGTGGGAGGAGCAGCTGAACAGCCCGCCCTGCAGCACAGGTGGCTTGCCACAGCTGGTACGGCGGCCCCTGGCACCCACGTGGCAGCCCCACTGGGCAGACAGAGCTGGCATCGTGGGCGTACACCCTGGCGCTACCACCCCACACCCCATCCACGCAGTCCCATGAGGCAGGGTGGGTTGAGAGGGAATGCATCACCAGCACCCCACCAAGGAAACGCCCGAAAACAAGTGGCCCAGACTTGTGCGCGCCATCAACCTGACATGGAGCGGATGCCGTCCAGGCGGCGCGTGCTGAACGTGTCTGCCACGAGGTACTGCATCTCCGGCGACAGGCGGGCCAGCCCCGCGATGGAGCGGTCGTCGAGGGCGCCGGGCCCCGACAGCACCCCCACCTCCCTCAGCTTGGCCTCGGCCCCAGGGGTCAGGCGGGAGGCGGGGTCGCGGCGGTCGTCGGGGCGGTCGTCGCGCCTGTCTCCACGGCCAGGGGAGTGGGGGGGGCCGCTGTCGCGGGGCAGTCTCCTCAGCACCCCAGCCAGGTAGGCGGCCGGGTTGCGCACCCGGCCCCCGGCCACGCTCTGCTCCAATCGATCGATGGATTCTATGGCCTCGGTGGGGGGGAGCTGGGCCAGGGAATCGAGGGCGCGTTCGTCGAGGTCGCGGCGCTGGACCTGGCGGAGCAAAGGGGGTGGAGAGGACTGTGCACGCCTGGATACGAGACAGGGGCGGAAACAACTTGAAGATTACGTCTCATTCGTACCGCTCCATTCCGATAAAGGTCTTCCAGTCGATCCAGGACGCGAGGATGGAGGCGACCTGGCCTTCCGCCGGGAGGCATCGTGGGTCGTGGCTTGTGCTCGAGCGCGGAGAACAGAGGTGAAAGGCACTCAACGACGACAATTGACAGCACCTATTGCCTGGAATGCGATCCGGGAAGACAGGCGTGCTGGTGCACCGTGTGGTTTGGCTCCTCTGTGGACCTGCCGACCCTTCCCAAGACCTGGTTGATCCGCTGAGGCCGCAGGTATGTCCTGCGAGAATGCAAGCCGATCAGAAGGAGAATCAAAACGGTGCTCCTGCGTGTCCCGCGCTGCAGATGCCATGTACACACGCGTTTGCACCTCCCCCCCTTGAACGTTGATGTCGTGGATACCCATGACCGTCATCCGTCTCCTTTTAAATTGTACCCCCGCCTCCCCCATTAGGCCCTCGTTATAGTTTAATATTACCATCCTAAGGTATCTTGATGCGGTTGCACGGCTTGGAATCAGTTGTACGACCAGTCAACGTTCAGCTGCAACAAGGTGCTCCCTTGGTGGCGCCAGGAACGGGCCCTTCCCAGCCCTGAGCGGCCATGGAGCACATAGTGGTGTACGGCATCCTAGGTTTGACATCCCTTGGCTGGATCATCATGCTGGCCGGGATCGGATCCGTGCAGGCCAATTGTGGCAGAGACGCTCTCGACCGGGGAGCCGATGCCGGGTACCTTGGCCCGGCAGAATGCAACACGATTTTCGGCTACACATGGTGGATAGTGAGTGGAGTCTCCATGCTTGTCGGTGCGGAGTGTGCCCGGCTTCCCCTCGCTCAAAAAGTCACCCCGGCCAGCACTGCCCAACCTGCTCCAGCTTCCCCAGCCCATGCCCTCGCCCCAGGTGTGGCTGCAGCTGGCGGTATTGCTGGGCATCACCTTCTCGATTGTCAAGGGTGTCGAGCGCTGGAGGGCGCCTGCCTTGGGCTACTTGGCGATCGCCTCGGTCCTGACGATGGACACTGCCAACACGTACATCTACTTCAACAGCACGCCCGTGAACAACCACAGCGCAGCTCGGGCCACTGCAGCGGGTGCAGTCATATGTTCCATCGGCAAGTAAGCAGAATGTTGAAGAGGAGCGATGTGTGGGATTACGGCATGTGAGGCTCGGTGAACGGGTCGCTTGCCCCACTACGCGACACGCGTTGTCCTGCAGCGGTCCACATGGTGCAGGCTCCCGCAATCGGTGCGTGATTCGCAGCCGTCGGAGCACTGTAACCCCAGGCCTGCCCCACCATCTGCCCCACGCATGTAGTTTGGCACTCATGACGTGTGTGGGCCTGCTGGAGGAGAAGGAGATCATCGGCCCCAAGCCCATGGCGGTGCCAAAGTCCTCCATCCCTTCTGCAGTGATTTGAGAGTGACATTTTGACACAGTATCTTCTCGTACACCTTTCGACTTGGGCACCGTTGCTCGACCCGCAGCATGCGTTGTGCCTCCATGCTGCGCTTTTTATACGGGTAGAACCCTGCTTACACACCCTAGCTGAGTTCTTGAGCGAGCTCATGCTTTGTTGCAATAGACATCACAAGGCCATGCTGCTGCAGCTCGCCCAAAGCTGAGCCAGGGACAGGTGCAGATGCATGCCGATGAAAGGACTTGCGAGAAGGAATGAGGCCACAAGACAGGGAATCATGTGTACCATGCGCTCGGTCAGGACGTTGCAGCGTCGGTTCTGAGGTGCATGCACATGCTCGTCGAGGCGCACTCCTTGCTGGCCTGCTCAGGGCTGTTGGCATGGCGACGCGCCCCCAGGGAGAACCCGTTGGATGCGGATGACGGGGTCGTGTGGAGAAAGGGGCAGGGTGCACCCTCCATTCAGGTCCTCCATCAGCAGTGCGAGTGGCAGGCATCATGCTGCAGTCGCGACCCGTCAACCGGATCCCCCTGGCACAGTGCTCAAACATGACACTGGCTTGGCCTCACCACATGGCGCCAAAGAGCAAGGCCAGAACGAGGTACTATATGGAGGAGGCGCTGTGGTCGAGGAGGTGAGCAATTATGGTATCGCAATGGTGATGGCCTACATGCATGGTTTCAAGCGTTGATATGGCGAGTGGTGCCAGTCGGCGTCCATTGGTAAGGACAGGTCAGGGTTGGACACGCTGGGCCACAAGTCCTCACTACACCCAAATAATCCCTGGTATGCAAACCAACACTATGGTCCGCAAGGCAAGCTCCAGCTCAAAACCACTCACCCAGCTCGTGCTGTTGACTGTGCTGAATGTACACAATCATAATGTCAGGCATCCTTGCCCAGGTCTACCTCCTCCAGAACGCTGAGATTTTCAGACCAGATTCTGGGACCCATTCACAGACTGATGGTTGATGACGGCAGTAGACATGATTCTGGAGAAGCGAAGGGTGAGCCAGAAGCCGCTGAATGAGGTAATGGCGAATGCGGCCAAGGTGTTTGCCTTGCCGGTCGCATTCCAGTATACCAGCCATGACTCAGCCAAGTCACCACCGAGAGAGGTACACCCTGGATGGAGCTGTAGACCGGAGGGTGATTGCCGAATCCTTCAGCCAGCCTAACACAGTGGGACTGGAGCTAGCCCGTGACGTTTACAGAGGAGCAGCATCACGGGTGCCATACCGCACATCGAAACTGGTGGTTTGAGATGGCAACCTTCTGACCTCGTCATCTGGTGGTGCATAGAGACCACCTTTGTTGT